TTTATTAAAATACTCTTCGATCTATTTCTGTTGGTTCCCTCACATCTATTGAAAACGTTCATCATTGGTCTTTTCACTAAGTATGTTATTGATATTATTCGTCATATTCTTAATCAAGTTTAATTTGACATTTTTTAATATTTTCTTCTCTTTCAATAGATTGATTCAAGAAAGTGAAAATTTCAAACTTCACGACGATATTCACAATTTCATTCTGCAAATTTTTATTGAATTATTAGTAAATCAGACGTATCTTGATAGTTTAGCATTGAAATATTTTCGACGTTCTTTCATGCAGTTAGAATTAACGCGAATGGAAAGACAAAAGCAATTGGTCTCATCATTGAATGAATAGTCATCGTTCCTGAAGGATCTAGCAATCACTCTCGATCTAATCAATATTTTAACGAATAAAATAGAGCCTTGCCAATGGTCGGAACTATTTTTTAATGAATCAAAGGAGATTCTAGGCGAAAAACTTGCATTGACGAAAGAAAGGGTTGAGACAGCTCATAAGCATTTTAATAGGACTGCCGATGAACAAGTTATGAAATTCATGAATGAAGATATCAAACTCACGGAGAATTCATTATCATGTGAATTTTATATCAATTTTATCGAAGCTCTACCGGCTGAGTCAATCCCTGATTCGACCAAGTCTTGAAATGTTTGGTTGTTGTTTCGATATAAGCAAGCTTTTAGCTTTAATTATTATATTCTATGTCAGATTCATGTTCATGTTATTATCAATACCAGAACGAGAGAGGTGACCATTCGATGAAAAATAATTGCTAGGACACTCGTTTGGATAACTCAAATGCACCCCACATCTTAAAATAAGCATGTTTCCATGCGCACAACTTCAAGTAACTCAACGATCCGGGAATATAATAACTACCATGGTCGAGCTTTGGTTATCTCTCTGGTTATAAAACTCCGTTCTGTTTGCATTTAATTGCTGTATAAATATCACTTCCGTACGTGCACACGCGTGCTCATGCATGGAAGTGAATGAAAAATCATGCAAACGCGCACAGTTCAAAATGATAAAACTTTGATCTGTTGACGCGCACCTTGTTCTCAGTATCTGATAGTTTAAACGCCTTGACTTTTGTGCTTTACGGCGTTTTACATATAAATCTTTGAGTGAAATAGGGAGAGCAGTCATCCAATTCCACAATGTTGAACATTCCGGAACCAGTTACGCCCCCGGAATCAATTCCATCGATTCCGGAATTAGGCCAAATATGAACACTGTCCGATTCCGGAATTAGTTCCTGCGATTCCGGAATTCCTTCGTCCGATTCCCGGAATTCCACGGAATTCAGTCCAATTCCAGAATTAGATGAAAGCGGAGTCACCGCGAATTCACAGGAATTCCGTGTAATTCCGTTCAATTTCTGTTCGACCTAATTCCCGGAATTCCGTACCGGAATTGCATTTGTCACCGAGCTATAAGATATATCAAGTGTCCATTGATCACTCAATTCCGGAATCGCTGGGAATTAGACGGAATCCCTTTGAATTCCGTGTAATTCTGGAATTGAATCGGATGGGATAAACGGAATTCCTGGAATTAGATGGAATTGGTCGGCAGTGATTCCGGGAATTCCGGAATTGAATCGGAAGGGGTAAACGGAATTCCGGGAATTAGATGGAATTGATTGGCAGTGATTCCGGGACTTCCGGAATTGTGTTGGAAGGGGTAAAAGGAATTTCGGGAATTGGATGGAATTGGTTCTGTGAGCGGAACTGATTCCGGAATGTTCAACATTGCGGAATAGGATGTATTCTCTGTTCATCGAACTTGAAGATGAGCTTACTCACATCAACGCCAAGAACAATCTAAAACAGTAGAATTACATTTAATTAATAGCTGATTTTTTCACTCACTTCAGGATCTGGTGGTGGTGGTACAGAGTGAGCTGCCAAATCGGTAATGTTCATTAGATTTTTATTCTAAATTTCAAATATTATATATCTAGATTGAAACATTCAACATCGACATACCTCTTTCAAAAATTTTCTACTCTTTAGAATACGAAATTTTTTTCTAATACCTTGAGCCGATTATCGACCTTATACTGGAACAGCAAAAGTTCCTTTTGAACATTAGTTATTTCAATATCAGCACTTGATTTAGAGCTTGACTCTTTTGAGCGTGACTAAAGTTTAGTAAAATGTAGATAGAAAAAAAACTTAATATATTGTTTTATACATACAGTTCGCTTCCGTTTCTTCTTGATTGGCTTGCTTTGTGTTGGTGGCACGTCATCTTCATCATCTCCTTGCTCACAAATATAGCTCAGATAATCTGTCACATTAGATGGATGGCCTAGACAATGAATAAATTGCTGTAAGAGATATGCAAAACTCTATGGGTTACTTAAGTTTTCTTGAGTGTGTTGCTCGTTGTTTGTATGTTCGTCAATGAACAATTGCTTGGATGATGAATCATCGAAAGGATATCAAGGAATAGCAGAATTGATTTCACCATATATTGATAGAATTAATCAAATTTGAAGTCTTCTATGTTCGAAAAAGTCTCTGATCTCAACAAAACTTCTCACCTTTCTTCTTCTTGGAATTATTTTTATGTCGATTGCCTGATGCCATATTAAGTGTTTCTTCTTCCAGTTGATCATCATCATCATCGTCGAACGCCATACGCTTTGTCGTTTTTTTCACATTTTGATAAGCAACAATAGAGTCAAAATCTAGAGAAGGTTCATTCACATTGTAATTCGAATGAAAATCTGGAAAAAAAAGTAAACATTGTCAAGGGTGGAAAGTTGTTATCTACCTGTTGCTTGTGGTAAAGGTTCATTTTCATCATTGTTGTAAAAATTTTTGGTTGTGTAAATGTGATTGTCATCGAGCTCTTCATCTTCGTCATTATTAGCAGGTTGTATATCAATTTCTTCACTTCCTGTATTGCGGCTAAATTGAGAAGCTTTTTCTTGACATTTTGTACGGGTACCTGATGTAAAACGAATAAAATAAAACAAAAAACTTTGAATATAAAAGAATTGAAGAATTAATTACCTTCAGCAATAATACGAACTGGTTGTACAAAACCAAATGATCAAATACTACCATTTTGTTCGTCTATCACATCAATGGTCACTTGATGTTTTGGAATAATTGCATGTTTTTTCTTCTTCGAGAAAGATGCGAGAACATACATACTAGGATCATAGCGCACATTTGGCTTTCTGATCCTCGTTGGCCGTTCCATCAGATTATTTTTTTAAATCTAAAACAGATAAAATAATCACCAGTGTAGAGATAACACAACATCAGTTTTTATAGCTGGACGATCACGTATCATGAAGCTACCGTACATAGTTTTTAATCATGTTCAAAATCAAACTCAGCTGTAGTAAAGGAGTAAATATTATTTTCAAGAGTCGGAATCTTGATAGCTTTTTTCGCAATTATAGAAACAGGTAGTACTTTGAAGAAGTACACGTTCTCATCAAACAATTTAAAATATAAGTCAATCTTGCTTTTGACTAAATGCGGAATAGATCGTTTTAAATCAGATAGTACACTTCGTGGAAGACATGGATAAAGTTTTACAAATGCATAGTGGTGATGGCGCAGCGAAAAATAAAAAAGAATAGATGCAAAACATACATCATTTCTGAGACAAGATGAAGATTGAATAGACACAAAATGACTAATAGAATTGCCGCGACGTGAATAGCAAAGCGAGTGAAAACAAACAAAATCACGATTATATCGAGAATAGAAAATGCAGTCCGACACCGATGCAGAAAACTCTTGCAAACAATTAGAAAAACCTTCATGAACAGATATAATAAAACTATTATCAACATATGATAATGAGAAAGTTTCTTTTGAGAAAATATCAGCCAGAGAAAATGAATTCGAACTCTGGTTATTTTGAGAAATCTCATACCAAGTAACGAGCTGACTTAGCACGTGCGTTATACCTTTGCACCATTTTAAAGCATGAGCAAGATATGATTCACGGGGAAAACAAGATGTGAAGTACAAAGCGCCATGAGAATGAACTTGTGAAAATAAATGCGAGTGGTAATGGATAGTCGCTAGCTCAGAACATCTTGAGTAAAGAGCAGAAAGAGATTCATAATACAAGTAAAATAAGCTTTCAATACCGTTCAATTGTTTTTTATCTGTAAAAAAGTAAACAACTTTAACGTACGTGTAGTAAAGAAGAAAACGCGCTGAATAATTATCTGGTAAAAAATTGATAACAAATAAAGGAGATACATAGAGAAAAAAATCGCGCAACATTTTGGCTTTCCAATTAGAAAAATCAGATAATGACGAAAATTGGTATTTGAAAGAATGTGGAAGAATGATATTTGATAAAAAGACTGAACCATTTTCAAAAATGTCCTTAGAAAACATCTCTCTCCATGATTTCAGGAGAGTTTTAACATGACCATGATATACTAGATGCATTGAGTCATACGGAGTTTGATATGGAAGTAATAAAAGAGACGATAATGGTGTAGGACCTTTTATTCCTTGAATAAATCGGCCATCATTAATCTTGGCGTTTCGTAAGTAAAACTGATGATCTTTCAGCTTTTCGGTCTTCTTCGAGAACGGAAAATAGACTTGTCGACCTATTGCCACTCCTAGAACGAGTGAAATTAGCGAAAACAATACTCACTAAAAAATGAATACATACCTTCAATACAACAATCACCACACCCATAATAACCATTATATTGAACAATATTCAAAAAGTGAGCACGGGCAGGCAAATCAAAAATTGCTTGTTGTATACGAACATTATACGACAAGCGAGAACCTATAATATAGAATTTTGTAGGTCGTGTTAAATTAAAAAAAGAAACATTACCATCTTTCTGTTTCAACACAATTGGTGATCGCATGAGAACTTCCAGTTGGGTGATAATCGGTATTAGTAAAGGATTACGAGGCGGCTTTTTTGCCGCCAACCAAACACCAAAAAGCATAACAGCAGATTTCATATCTCTCACCGGAATCGGTATTTCTGCAATGATTGCTTGAACAGGCCATAGAGACTTATCTAAACGAAAGAGAAAAATGATCATAAAGACAGCGAATAATGATTACTTACTGTTCACACCAACAGCAGGTGCACCATCGCTGTGTAAAATGATCGTGATATTGCGCTGATTTTCATTAGTTGGTAATTGCCGATAAATATTACCTAAAATAAGCAACGAGGTATAACATGATTCCAAGATTCGTCACCATACTACTAATATGATCAGAAGGGAAAAGATATGGAGCTTGTTTCGGATATTCGTTGATGAGATCAATGTGACGTTCAGCTACTCGCTTGATTTCACGTTCCACATTCATAATAGCCAGTTCAGCAATCTTACTATATGACCTATATTTTCCATTAGAATCACAACTGATTGAACATTTGGCATCATTTGATTTTAATAAAACTTCACCACATTCTACGCAGCGAACAGATACCTATCAAAATATCAGATTTAAATTAAGAAGATAATGCTTTTCTTCAATAAAAACCTGTGGACGATATTCATTATCAGTCATCTTGAACAACATAAAAGTCGTTTTCGGTAAAACACAATCAGGAGGGAAAAAACTCGAATTTCTGTTAGAAGCCTTTGTATTCCTTTTTTGTCTAGATTGAGTGAATGTCCTAAACGGATAAGACGCATACAAGCTTCATAAACAGATATTGGACATCCGATATAAAGTGGAGTTGTTTTGTTTTTTTCTTCTTCATTCATTTGATTAATAAAATCTTCAATACTTGTATCAGTGTCATCAATAGAATCATCATCATGGTTGTTCTCATTTTCATTTCTAATAAATTCGGAATCAGAATCTGTTCGTATTTCTGATGAAATAGAATAATCGATGACAGGTTCTTGAGTTACGTGTAAATTTATTTCTTCTTCGTCGGTATTAGTCGAATCAAAATGATATGCCTATTGTAAATAAAACAGATATATGCGAGGGACAAGTTCTGTTACTTGATACATACTGAATCCAAAAATGTGTTAATCTTATTTTCCTGTTTACGTGAACGCCATCTTCGCTTTATATCAACGTGTAAACGTCGTTTTGGAGCTCTTTGAGACATCTGAAAT